CCGCAGGCGGCATTGGCACGGCCGCAGGCGCCGCCGCCTGCGGCGCATCCAGCGTCTCCGCGATCTGCGCCAGTGCGGCAATGGCCGCCGGCTCATCCCCCACGCGCTCCGGCGTGTACTCCGAGTACTCCTCCTCCTCCTCCTCGAGATCATCCTGCATGTGGTGCTGCTGCAGGATGTCCTGGTCCAAGCTGAGCTGCTCATCCTCTGCGTCCTCGTGCTTGACCGCGCGGTCCTTTTTCTCCTTCTTGTCCTTCTTGCTGCTTTTGTCCTTCTTGTCCTTCTTGTCCTTCTTGTTCTTCTTGTCTTTCTTATCCTTCTTGTCCTTCTTGCCCTTGTTGTCCGCGTCCTTCTCCGCGGTCTCCTTCTTGTCCTTCTCCGCGTTCTCCGCCGCGCTTGGCGCCACGCTCCGCGCGCTGTTCCTGCCGCGGCTCCTCCCGCGGCTCCTCCCACAGCTCCAGCTGTCCTCGCGCTCGGAGCTGGAGTCGCGCCAGCGGCGCCGCCGGCAGCGGCAGCAGCGGCAACAGCCGCAGCAGCCGCGACCCATGGCTCGCGACAACTGGGCGGCTGCACCTGTGTACCTTCTATAGCCTCATGCACGTGCGCACGCCGCCTGAGCTGCCTCACCTCATGCACGCATGCGTGGCCTTCCTGCATGCATGAGTGGCTTGGGCCGAAAGCATGCATGCCATGCATGGAAGCTTAGCCGCCGCACGCGCTTCGCGGCGACGGCCGCGGAGTGCTGCGCGCGGCTACGTGGCCGCGTTGCTTCTGCGGGTCGCAGACTTGCCCGCGCGCACACATGAAAAAACCATGCAAAAACCATGGGAAAAACAACAACAAAAACAATCGCGCACGAACACGCACGTGCGCCGCACGCGCCCTAACACCCACACGCGCGTGCGCGCATGCATGCAGGCACAAACGCGCACAGCGCGCGCACAAACACAGGCGCACACAAACGGACAAAAAAAACACGCGCACACACACACACACACACACTCAGACGGACACACACACAAACACATGCGCCCACACCAGCCCGTTTTCCTCCCGAGCATGCTCTATAGATTGCAGGGTGGGGCATGCCCTCTATACACCCAGCAGCTAGGGGTGCAGCCCCTGCGACCGCGGCACTTGCCGCAGCCGTGCGGAAAAAGCTTGAGCCTCTGTTTCTCAGAAGGAAAAGGCTTCAGCGGCTTCGACTTTGCTTTCCCCTTAGCTGTAGCTGCAGGGGGTCGCTTCATAGCGGCCCGCTGCTTTGGCACAGCTTTCCCCTTAGCAAAGCCCTTGCCTGCAGTGTTTTTAATGGGAGCTGCCTTTGCTTTGGCTGCGACGGGAGCTGCCTTCGCTTTGGCTGCGCCCATGGGAGCCTCTGCGCACGCAGTCACGGCGGCTGCAGGGCGCTTCATCGCTGCGCGCGAGTTCAGGGCGTCCTTCAACTGCATCACTGTGGCCTGGTAGGCGCTTGGTGCCTGTGGCGCGGCGCTTGCTGCTTGAAGCGGCTTCAGCATGACCGCAAGCGCTGGCTTCGGGACAGAATCCGCCGGCGGCGCTGCTGCTGTCTGCTCCACGGTCCCCGTCGGAGTGGCGAGGATCTCGGCGCAAAGAGATGTCTCCGCTCCTGCCTCACGTGCTTCCTGCGGAGCGGCCACTGCCGCTGCTGCGGTCTGCAGAAGAGCTGCAGGAAGAGGAGCTCCACGAGGGGCACTTGGCGCGGCTGTAGCGGCCGTGGCCGCTATGTGTGGCAGAGCTTGCTGCCGGGAAGCTGCTGCGGGCGGGCCCGCTGACTCAATCAACGTGTCCAAGCCCTCGACGAAGCTGCCCGCAGGCGATGCGTCCTCTATGGCCGGCAGCCGCGGTGAAGAGGCCTGCCAGCTCCATGCGTGCGTATGTGTGCGCGCGTGCGTGCGTCTGTGCGCGCGTGTCTTGTGTGCGTGCACGCGCGCGCGATCGCTAACACGAGCATGACGTGCGCGCAACAGTTATATATATGTATTTATATTTATTTAGCCGAGAGCCCCGCTCCTGCGACGTCTGCGAGCCATCGTGCGAGCGCAAGCCTGCGCGCATGATCCGCAGTGCGGGATGTCCCTGCTGCAGCACCTGGCGCAAAGCCTGATGCACCACGCGCTCCACAGAGTCCTGCTGCAACTCAGGCGGGGCCAGCCTACCCGTGCGCCGCAGAGGCATCCTCTCCAGAAGCGCCTGCAGCTGCGTCAAGGGGACGAGCTGCTGCCCAGGCGATCCTGAGCCATATGCGGCCTGACGAACGTCAGCAGGTAGATCCTCGAACCTGTGCGGCAAGTGGTGCACCGCAGACGGAGGCAGATCGGCCACTCGAGTCCGCAGCAAGTGGCCGCGCGCATGGCCCTTGATCTGCTGTAAGGCTGTGAGCAGGTGGCTGCAGTGCCCGCTCCAAATTCTGCTCTGGTGGTACAAGATGCAGAACAGCATGCCGAAGGTGGGCTCCGAAGGGTACCGCAAGCCCAGCAGCACCGCGAAGTCCAGCAGCTTGCCAAGCAACTCCAAGTTCGCCGGCCAAGTAGGACAGGCCGCAACCTCCTGCCACATGTCCTTGGGCAAGAAGAGCGGAAGGCGCGTGAAGTCCTGCATCTTGCCGCGGCCCCGGGCATCAGCCTCTGCCATGGCGCCGCTATATACTGTCAGCAGTGCGTGGCTCGTGCGTACCTGCGCTTGTCTTGCTTCTGCATGTGCGCCTGCCTGCGTGCGTGTACGCCTTCCTGCGTGTGCCCACTCGCATGCCGCTGCGCTTGAGCATATGCAAGTCCGCGGCAAGGCCGCGCAGCATGATTCTCCATAACACTAGCCGCAAAGTATACGCCCGCGCAAACAGAGCGGCAAAGCCGCTTTTTCCGCGAGATGCGCAACCCTGCGGCGGCGCCGCGTTAATTCTGCCGGTGTTTTCATGCCTGCATAATTTTTACGGAGTGTCAACTGCGCATTTTTCGCTGCGAATTATACGAAACTCTATAATTCGCTGCGATTTCCGCATTTTGTCGCTTCTGCAAAAAAAGTGCCACAAAAAGACGTCTAAAAAGTTATTTCCAGTTATTTTAGTTAGTTTTACTTATTTTAGTTATTTAAGTTAGTTGAAGTTATCTTAGATACACAACTGCTAGAACTGCTAACCTTGACTATAAGTCCCCTTATACAAATTAACGAGACCACGTTGTGAACACCCGCACGCCCGCACACCCGCACATCCGCACACCCGCACACACGCACACACCCGCACACGCACACGCCCACGCCCGCGCACGCGCACGCGCGCGCGCGCACGCACACCCATGGCCACACACGCAAACGCACACGCACATCCACACACACACACACACCCACACACGCACACCCACCCACACACACCCACACACACACACACCCACACACACATACACCCACACACACGCGCACCCACGCACACACACACACACACGCACACACCCACCCACACACACACTCGCACACACACACACACACACACGCACACACACACACACACACACACACGCACACACACGCACACACACACACACACACACACACACACGCACACACACGCACACACACGCACACGCACACACACACACATGCACGCACACACGCACACACACGCACACGCACGCACACGCGCACGCACACGCACGCACACGCACGCGCATGCACGCGCATGCACACGCACGCACGCACACCCTCGCACACCCAGGCACACCACGCACACCCACGCACACCCACGCGCACGCACGCGCACGCACGCGCACGCACGCGCACCCATGCGCACCCACGTACACCCACGCGCGCCCACGCACACCCACGCGCACCCACGCGCACCCACGCGCTCCCACGCGCTCCCACGCGCACCCACGCGCACCCACGCGCACCCACGCGCACCCCGCGCACCCGTGCGCACCCACGCGCACCCACGTGCACCCACGCGCACGCACGGGCACCCACGCGCACGCACGCACCCACCCACCACGCACCCACGCACCCACGCACGCACGCTCGCACGCACGCACACGCACACGCACACGCACACGCACACCCACACACACACACTACACACAGTACACACACTGCACACACTACACACCCTACACGCACTACACACACGACACACACTACGCACACTACACACACCACGCACACTACGCACACTACACACACTACACACACACACTGCACACACTGCGCACACTGCACACACGACACACACTACACACACTACAAACACACACACACACACACACACACTACACACGCAACACACACACACACTACACACACTACACACACACACACTCCACACACTCTCCACACACTCTCCACACACTCTCCACACTCTCTCCACACACTCCCCACACACTCCACACACTCCACACTCCACACACTCCACACACTCTACACACCCACAAACACAAACACACACACACACACCGTATAGACGCAGTGGCGCACCATCCACCCACACACTCGCACCAGCGCACGCACAGGTACATTGCACTCGCAGACGCGCACGCGCACGCCCATACACACAGAGAAACGCCCGCGCGCACATACGCATGCACGCACTCACCTACACAATGTACCAAGAGTGCTCCTAGTCTCGGAGGGAACTCGCGCTCAATTGCAGAACTATGTTGTCATGAGGATCGGCCCGAAAGGGAAACTTTCCCCAAAATCATTGCTAAGGAGGATAAGGACCCTGCACAATCAGAAGGAATCCCCCTAACTGGGATATCGTTTCGTGTGTGCCTGTGTGTGTTCTGTGTGCATGAGTCATTTTTTCTTGCCAGAGGTGAGGTCGAACGCAACCAAAACCAATGAGGGCGGCCATACCTTCTAACCAGATGCCTTCTCAAGTGCCCCAGTGGGCATGATAGATCAGGGGGGCCAAAGCAATATGTGGTTTTCATTGGCTGCAACCTTACAGCCCAACCCCCAAAAGGGCATGCTGAAAACACCATAAAACACCCAAGGCCGCGGCAGCGAAGCCTGTGGACCAGCTCAACACCACCCATGGCCATGGCTTCTCGGTGGTGGCCAAGCTTCACTCCGCCGCTTCGCGCAGCTGCGGTACATTCGTTTTGACCATGGCTCAACTCAAGCCCATGGCATAGCTTCTCTTTGACTCCCCTTTAAACACCAAGAAGGTTCCGCTATGTTGAAACAGACGTAGCAAGTTTGGGGAGCTTATTGCGTTTGCTGATACGCATGGTGCAACAAGTTCTCAGCCAGATGCATGCGGGTTTGGGCTACCCTGCAATCATATTCCAATTATTTGGCGCGTGCAGCAAATGAGTCTGTCGTAGCACATCAGCTGAGGAGCTGGTGAATTTCCTGATCCGGCGGCCTGCCGTTCTTATCAAAGCAGTGGAACATGACTCCAAAAAGCAGTGCGTGCTCAGCGATGAGAGCGACGCAGGCAAGGCTCAGATCACCCTTTTTGCCAAGTACTACTTGAAGGCCCCTGGCCACAACAAGGACGACCTGAAGACCGCACACCTGCCCCTGCCAGAGAATTGCCAGGATTTCTTGGCCGGAAACGAGCAGAGAGACCCGGAGGATGTCGCGAGCAATCTTGAGGAGTCCACCGAAGCTTTGGAGGCGGAGAAATCCAGTGGTTCCCTCATGCAGTTCAAGTCAGAGCGTCTCAGGGATGCTCGGCAAGCGAATCAGCCTTTGCAGCCATTTGGATCCGCATGTTATCTTTCTTGTATACTCATTTGTGGCTCAAAATTAAACCGGAGGACCAAAGTTCCATCTACCGCTCATTTGTGTTCGTCAATATTGCTTCAACATTTTCCAGCCGTTTTTTCTCCCTGGCTCCGAGGATGCGGTGGGCGGCGACGAGGCCGCCAGCAGCTTTGCCCACGGTACCGCCTTCGAGGGCACCGAGGAGGAGGCGGAGGCCGCCTTCATCTTCATCATTGCCTCCCGCCAGTGGCCATTGGGCCATGGCTTCCATTTTGGGGTAGATGAACACCCATGTACCACATATTTTGATGTTTATGAGAGGTACAGGGTTTTGACCCACAGCCGAGTGGCGCCCATTTGGTCGGTTGTTGGGGGTTGGTGTCCCTTGATCGTTTTTGTTGGGAAGGTGGTCCCTTGAAAAACAAAACAAAAAACGAAAAACATATGCCACAGCTATATTTCCCCCGTGGACACCCAACCGCCTTCTGAGGCTTGCATCGTCGTGGCCATCGTTTGCATCATTGTGGCCGGCCTCCTCTTTACGGCCGCAGGTTGGTTATGCAACTCTTTAGCCCTCGTCCAACCCCTTGAAAGAAAAAAGCTTTTGCAGGTTTTGAAACAATGGTGGTTGAAACAATCAAGGAGTTTATGTTCAGGTTACAGCGGCCTATTGGCAGTTGCTTGTTGCCACGCTGGCAGGATCAATGATGGGGGATAATGTGTCGGGCTACTTTGTGTGTGCGATGCTCGGAGGTCTGGTGGTCTTTGGCGCCTTCTGTATGGCATGGCCTGTGGGCTTAGTGGTGCCTTGCGACCGAACATAGCGGGCGGCTAGATTCGGTTGTCAAGAGCACTGGGGATCTAGGTTCACATGCGATTGAAACCAGGGTCCAATTCCCGAAGGGGAATTCTTTTACAACTTGACTGTTTTTCGGTTGCCATGTTAAATCTGCCGGGGATTGCCTTCTTTAGCTTCTTGGGAGATGACTGGTTCCCTGGAAACAAGGTTCCTTTTTGTGTTGTTTTTTTCCTCGACTGGCAAGTGGTTCCAACTTGTTTTTTCTCCTTTCCAGGTGCTCGTCGGGTCCGTCGTCGGCGCCTTCATATTATCCTCCTTGGCAGAGCTGAACGAGAAGCCCATCTCGCATCACGGGAAGACCTTGTTGCTTGGCGATTCCTAAATTCGTAGCCTTTGACTTGAGTTTGGAGGGATGTGCCACCAAGGTTGGATTTGGCCGCCGCCAGCATGTGAGTGACATCACAAATGACCGCCTCACTGATGGAAGGAAAAAGGATACAGATTGACCAACAAGTCTTTGTGTGTGTGTTGGTGCGGTGGTGTGTATGTGTGTGGCCGCTTGTTTTGAGTTGCTTTGTTTTGGTTGGGTTATGTTTGCCTCGTTTTCTTTGGTTTTGCTTGCTTGCATGCTGTTTCCTTGCTCGCTTGTTTGCTTGTTTGCTTGCTTGTTCCCCAAACAGTGTGTCTACACTAAGGGGTTCTGACGGTAGAGGTAAAGGGTTGGGGGCACTGTTTTTGTTGTTTGTTTGTATTGGGGTTTTCGGTTTTTGTTGGCTTTGCTCGAGCTGGTTTTTGTTGAGGTGCATTTCAAGGAGTCCTTGCAGAATACTAGGGCAATACCAGGAGAATACTAGACCTCCAGAAAACCAAAAAGCAGACAACACTAGGGAAATGCAAAGGGAATACTAGGGGAATACTGCGGGTGAATAGGAGAATACCAGGGGAACACTGAGGAATTACTTGGGAGAGAAAAATAATAGGGGAATGCTAGCGGAATATTCAGGGAAGAATGAGGGAAGCCTCAGCGAATAGTAAGGGAACGCGGCCAAATTACTGTGAGCTACGGGGAGCGTCAAAAAGCGTTCCGATTCGGACAGTTGCGGGCTTGGATTTGCAAGGTGCTGGGACCGAGAGAGGTCTGATTTTTTTAATCTATCTGGGTTCCGAAATCCAAAGGTCTTGGTAAGACCCATGATCTAGCTGGTCGCAATGCACTTCATTCCCCCTGCTGACTGTAAACGGATTAAATGACTCAAAGGCCATTTTGCAACGGGGCTTAGCCGTGCTTTGCGATTCATTTGGCGGCCACAATCCCAACCTGCAACACCCTCAAGAATGGCCAGACATTTTGGAATCTCGGAGGTGCCTTCTAGCAGCCAAAACAAACTTGATTGAAACATTGCCTCCAAAAGCAGTCCTTTTTGCAGTTCGATAGCGTTGCCTGCACCCAGTTAAATGGTTTGTCTCCCAAGGATTTTCGCAGCTGAACTCCTTCTTCACCTCGCAGAAGATCATGCGGCCCTCTGCAGCGGGCTTACCAAAAAGGAGCTTGAGCCTATAGAAAGCTTCGCAGATCCAAAGAACTTAGAAGTCTTTGAAAGATGGTTCCAAGAGCCTTCCTGGTTTCTATCAAGGTTGGAAGGGATTTACTAGCGTAACCCTAAGAACTTCAGTTTGCTTTCAGAAGGTCCCCTGTTCGTTGTAACGGAAATCTATCACAACGGGGAATTTAATTTGTTTATTTCTCCACGGGACTTAAGCAAACGAAGGAGAACTCGCCAGAGGGTCTTGATTTGGCTTTTGGCCTTGCAGGGAAAAGTGAGCAAGTGCCAACAAAACTTTGGGGATGCATGTCCAGCCACCGCAGGCATTTGCCAACCCATCCCAGCTCTTATCCCCTACCCGCTTCTTTGTTACCCAGCATTTGTTCCGTGCAAACTGTGAGAAGGTCATTTTGTGAATGAGAAATTCAACTATGTAGAGTGCACTTACAAGCCCGAACCCCTAGTTCAAGTTCTAGTTGGAAACTTATAGCACAACGCGCCAGTTTGTCGGACTGCCCACGCCCAACCCCCCCCCACCCCCCCCCCCCCACCCCCCACCCCAATGAAACATGGCATGGCAAACCCATGACTTCGTCGGGCCAGGTTTCCGACTTTGCTTTCGGGTCCGATTTGTGGGCCCTTACTCACTCATCCACTCTTCCTCACTCGCTGCATCACCTCAGCTGGTCAATCATCCTTTTACGCCTCTTCCGTCCACGTGTTTCACACTAAAGCTTGGCATCGATCCTGTCCATTATTGTGTCTGGCTCGGCTGGTTGGTCTGATTTCCTAACAGCTTTGAAGGTTCCCAGAGGCTTTTGGGCACAACAGGGTTTCATGCTTCTTTCTGGTAATCACCTTGGGCCATTTTTGGATGAGCTTCCTGGAGTGATATCAGGGCTGGGTGTGTGCCGCAATGTTCGAAACAGGGAACCCTCCAAAAAGCACACAAAGACACGCATATACGCAACAAACGAGTGTGTTGTGGCTTTCCTTTAACAGGGCTCCTTAAAAGATGCATAATGCCCCATTGAAACATGGCTTTTTCCACCAGAATAAATGGACACCTAGTTACAAGGCAATGTTCAGGTGTTTTTCATGTAAGGATCCCTGTTTAGACCCAGGTCAAAAGGGCAAGCTGAGGTGGTGTGCTCGAGCTCCGGAATGCTGCTGAACTTGGTGGGGAATCTGATCCTCGTCCTGGGCGACTTGGCGCGCGTTGAACCGCGCTCGCGGACGGCGCCGTTCGGGTGAGAAGCATGTGGAAACCAAATGGGTGTGGGTCAACACCAATGGGATCGCATGTTGGGGTCGGTGAATTCACCACCCATTTTAGGACCTATTTTAGCGGGGATTAAAATGTTCACTGGTACGGGGGGTTTTGACCCATATATGCCAAATTTCAGCCGAGGTCTTGCCATCCCCAACTGGCCAGGCCTGGGCTTCCCCGCATGCCCTTGGGCGCCTTGGCAGCCGGAAAACGCATCCAGGACGAACAAAAAACACGGCAGTTTTCCGCTGACGGTTGGGCCAACAGGGCCGCAACGAAATGTGTTGGAACAGCCCAACAAAACTTTGGCCTTTAGGCAAGTGTCGAGTTCCTTCAAGTTTCAGGAGAAAATAAGTTGTTTTTTTTTAGAGAGAGGACATTTTAACCCATGGATTGATTCTTAATTTCGTTGCCCAACAATCCATTTCTTCTTTAAAATAACACATGCTGTTTGTGGGTATGTTTCGCTTTTCCGAAAACAACTAAATCCCGCATACTGAATCAGAATCATCAAATTCTAAGCCAATACCAAATCAGCGATTCTGACAACCAACCCAAACTCCAGTCGTAGGGGACCCAGTCTCAGTGGGTCTCTCTTTGTCTCTCTCTCTCTCTCTCTCGCTGTGTCTCTTTCTTTCCCGCTTCTGTAGGCAGATGCCTCCAATTCAGATACAAAGTGCTCCAGAATGTACTTAGGAGCACATGACCATGTCTTAGTTCTGCAAAAGAAAAACACCAGAGTACTCGGTGAAGCCCTGCACCTTGAGGCAAGGTGCCCAGTACATAGACCACTGAATCTAAGCCAGGGCCGGTTCTCAGGCCCAAAGGCCTCGCGCAACAGTCGCGTCTCCCTAGCATGTCTAAGCATCACGTGTAAACCTTACTCAATTTGTTGGTTGATTGCAAATGGTAGTGGACTTTTCTTTGGGTGAATGTTTGCAGGAAAAAAACATGGGGCACCCTTTTGAAGTGACTCGCACTCATCATCCTGTATTGGACACATATAAGAAAGAGACAACGTTGCCTGCGTATGCGGCTTGGGTGGTCCTTTATCGGTCGTGCAGGTTGGCCGGTATCAGCTTTTGGTAGTCCTTTACCGGTTTATTGTAATATATTGTCGGGCGCTCATGTCATTGATGTTATTTGCTTTGATGATCCTTCTGGATGAACCACTCCATTTTGTGAGGCAACTTTTCTTGCTGGCCAAATTAAAGTGATTTTCCTGTCAGTGGGTTTTCAGGCTCAGTCTCCGCTTTGGGTTTGTTTCACAGGAAAGGTGGTTATTTTCGACAAAACTCATGTTCCTGAGACAGTTGAGCGGGTGCGGCTTCAGCTTTTGAAGTTTGCTGCATTTACCAAAGGATGCCATCCACGGGGGTTGCCAGCGGAGGATATTACGTCGCCAGTTCCTGGCGTGGAACCTCACAGAGGGCCTGTTTGAAAGGATCATAGTTTGGGCGCCGTATTCGGGCTGCTTCTGCTTGCTTTGAAGAACTGACTCCTCCAAATCTAGGTGTTGTTCTTCTGGCAAGACTACAAGGGTCCCCCAAGAGGTTTACGCTTCAATTTTTCCAACTGAGAAGTAGCTGGCCTTTGGGTCGGGTGGGCACCTTGCTTGCATAGGTCACTACGTGTGTTGAGTTCTTCCAGCTCTTCCTCCTTTGGCGCCTCGGCAGTCGCCACGTCCCCCGAGCCATCACTTTGACCTTTTGTCGTGCGGTACTAAACCAAGTTACGTAATGATAAAAAGGTCTAGTGGGGCTAATATCTTAATGATTATGTCCATATTGATCATGACCATAATTACGTAGCAATATCTTAATGATTTGATCATGGGCTAACCTTTTTTCGCCCCTTGTGTTTGTCCTTTCGCAGTGGATGTTGATTCGGATTGACCAAGCCTCCACGTTGACCAGCCCGGTATTTCCCTCCAAAGGCGCGAAAATGGCACGGGTCAGAACGCGTCCATCGAACTGCATGATTGAAAGGGCAACCAGCATTTTGGACAGATGGGGTGTTGTTTGCGACCGTTTTGGGAAGTTCCGTTTTATTTGTGCCGAAAGCATGACTCCGGATCGCCTGGGTTTGCCCCAGAACAAGCCAGTGGCGGAACGCCAGTTCTGAGGGAATTCTTTACCAACCTGAGGTTTGCTTGGGCCCAAGATGATCCAAGAAAGAAACCAACTGATCATGGGACACTGATTTAGCACCGGCGATTCTATCCATGATGGCCCTTGACTAGGAGGATTCCCGATTTGCTGTTTGTGAAATATCGCAGGTTGTGCACGTTGTGCAGCGCATGGTTGTATGGTTTCACAACGCTCCTGGTAGATGCTTTGCAACTTGGCAGTTTGTGAAATGTAGGTCTTTGTGCAGATACTGACTTTCCTTCCCCCTCACCAACTTAAGTGGCCAACATGTTTTGAGTCCAACATCCGAAAGGTTGGCTTCCGTTTTCCTCGGCGACATCGGTTTCCCCCGGATAGCTTGCGAAATTCACGTCTTCCCACCTGCCATTGGAAGACTGCCCTTGTCGAAGAGTGTTCATAAGGCGGAAGCCAAAGGGAAGTCAAAGGGAAACTAAGGAAACCAAAACGGGAATCATGGAAATCAAAGCGGACATCGGATCCCCGGTTTGGAGGCTGCCAACCGAGTTCTTGTTGTTGGCGGGGGGCGCTGAGGTTCATCTTCTGCCATTGCCTGCAGCTGCACAAAGATTGCTGGCCGGGCTGGTCGCGGGACCTGTGATTCGGGATTTCGAGGGCTCGAGGTGGGTCTGCCTTTCTGAGGCTACATTGTGTTTCTGGCGGGTGCGCTGAAAAATCGAGCCCATTTCTTGGGGCCGGTTCAAAGGCGTTTCTGACCGCCCTTGTGCCCTTTGCTTTTTGTTTTTGGTCAATTCCCCTGTTCTTGAACCCCCCCATTTTGTCGCTTTGGCCAAAATGAGCGAAGCAGGTGGGGGTCAACCAAAATCATCCATTTTTTCAGGCCTGTAAAATGGTTTGTCTCCAAGTCTTGTGTGAAAAATCGACATCCGGCGACATTTTGGGGGGGCACCCATTCTGACACAAACCCGAATAGCCACAAGGCTGGGAATAGGTTTGTCTCTGGCCAATTAGGCGATGGTTGGGTCTCAAGAATGGGTCACCTCAGACATAAAAAATGGATTTGGGCCTCACTAACACCTGCGACGAGTTTGGACCTTCAACATTCGGGAGTTTTGCGGGTGTCAGTTGGGCCTGTAACATGGGGGTTAGCTCACAGCTGGGTCATTTGAGTCGTTCGGGCCCAACAAGTTTGGGTCATGTGCGCTGCCGAAGGACACGTCAGTTACCGGAGCATGCTCCTACTTGTTCCACATACCTGTTTCGCGAAGGGGGGGAGTTGCCTGGTGAGTCAAAAAGGAGGAGATTCGCAAATAGACCCAAACCAGGGTACAGGCGCGATCCACTGGATCAATCTGTCCATCACACCTGCACTTGCTAGAGTGAGGGCGTCAAGCGCCCTCCTTTCTGTTTGTCAAAGATGGAGGGTCCCCTACTTGGATGTTCGGTCATAACCCACTGATAACCGCATGACATTTTGTTGTTTTGTGCTCTTTTTCCCCAGCTGAAAGCTATGGATTTGGTCCATAGGCTGAGCTGGGCGGGGGTTCATTTGTGCACGTGCTTGGGCGGTCATTTGTGCACGTGTCCAACTGGTCATTTGTGCACGTTTTATGTTCAGAATTCATGGTAACTACAGGCAAATCGGCTTGGTCATCTGTGGCCCCATTCCTTCGATGTGCACGCGAACCAACTCACGCACAAGGGGGGGCTGGGTGGATGGCAAGCGTCGGTGGGAAAAGGGGTGAGGGGATGGGTTAGTTTCGATGTTCACGCGAACTAATTCACGGGGGTGGATGGATGTGTCGGTGGAAGGGTGGGTGGGGAGGGGTGGGGGGGAGGGGGGGCTGGTACGCGTGTATGTTCACGCGAACCAAGTCACGCAGCATGGGAGGGGGTGGGTGGATTGTAAGCGTCGGTGGGAAGTGGTGCGGGGGGGGGGGGGGGCTGGTACGCTTGTATGTTCACGCGAACCAAGTCACGCACCATGGGCGGGTGGATGGTGGGGTGGTAAGCTTCGATGTTCACGCAAACCAGCTCACGCACAATGGGGCTTACCATCCCCCCCCCATCCCCACCGACGCTTACCATCCGCCCACCCGCGTGAGTTGGTTCGCGTGAACGTCGAAGCTTACCACACCGCCCCCCTCCCCCCCCCCCCGCGTACGGTGCGCACACAGTGCGTGGATGACCGGAAATCACGTGCGCGGAGTGCGAAAATGTCGCGTTGTCGACAGCGTGCGCAGATGACCGTGTTCTCCGTGCGCGGATGGCCCCCCCCCCCCCGCGCGGCCAGCTGGGCTCATTTGGGGTTGGGGCAGCTTTCAGGGAGGGTTCAAAAGGCGGGTTCCTGGGTTGTCTGGGCAAATACGTTTTGAAGCAGGGTCGCCTCTCTTTGGAAAGCCCATCTAGTCTGTGCCTCCTTTTGTTTGTATACCTCTGTAGGTTTTTTGGTCGGTTGCCGCGTTGGTGACGTTCGCAGGTTGCCATGGTACTGGCAATACTTTTTGGGGGGGCAATCTCTTAGCACCCTCACTAAAGGGATGTGCGACCTCACGGCTCTTTACTTGGTGTTTCTGTATTTCAGGTGGTTTGAATGATAGAAATGTGTCCAGCTTTATTCTAGACAACATGTTGCGTCCATCGGGGGGGTTTGCCGCACTTTCAACAGTCGCACTTGTTCCTATTTGCATATCATGTGTGTTTTACCAGCATTTTAGCGGCAAATTTCCTTTCCGTGGACGCAACATGTCGCGTGTTCGGGGGGGGGTGGGGGGGGGAGGGGGGGGGTTCGGGGTGGTAGCGGCATGCTTATGCCCGTGCCACTTGCAGCGGTTGCGGATCATGGACGTCGCCACAGCCTCGCAAGCGGCTACGCGGGCTTTTCGGCCTGAACTCAGTACCGTTTTTAAACGGGTGACTACTATTTATATTTTGGTGGATCAATGCTTTCACGGGGTGTTTTATGTGCTCAGGTCAACATCCTCGCCATGGAGCGTGCGTTCCTCGGCTCCGGAGCTTCAGCTGTGGAGCCCGGTCCAGGTAGAGTCTGAGGTTGGGTCGCTCCACGGCGGCCGCAGCTCCGGGACCACCAGAAACAACGAGTGAGGCGGTGCCGCTCTTGCAAGACAGACTGTCTGCAAAGCACCACTTGATCGAAAGCGACAGCAGCAAGGCAAGGGCTTGGCCGGGGCATGGAAGCAGCTGGGACTAACTTCTGTGAGGGCCAAGCACTCGCAAAGCGAATACACACCTGTGAAGAAGGTCTCCTTGAAGCACGTGCCTAAAAAACTGCTCAAGTCCTTGATGAAGAAAGGTGGCAAGTGCAAGAAACCCATGATGATTCCAGCGGGGTCTTCTGCTGGTAAGATCATAGGGGGAGATCAGGCTTGCGAGTCGCTGGCTTCGACGATGAAACGGAGCATGAGAAGGATGAACTTGACCGGTAGGCTGGATGCATCACTTGACATGGAACAAAAAAATCCGATGGCAGCCATGTTCTTTTCCACCACACCTAGCCTCGAATCAATAGTGGAAGCCTTTGCCAACTACAGGCGACGGCATGAAGATGTTGTCCCGCCTGCAGAAATGTACACAAACTTGAAGTGGATGAGCGACATGTGAAAACAAGATGTTGCTGCTCTTGCTGTCGGTTGCAACGCAGAGATGCATTGGACTCGCGGCAAACCCCCCCGATGGACCCAACATGTCGCCAACGCTTGAACCTTTTAAAAAGAGCTATTTGAGCATTCCAGGGAGGAATCCGCTGGTGGACTGAGAGCCCGAACACAAGTCCTAGGCAAAGTAAACACGCGTCTCAAGCATAAGGAACCTGACCGGCTTCGGTACTTATTGAACATGTGGGTCTTTGTGTTGTCTTGCAGCACCTTTCTTCCACAAGCGCTTGGGCTCTTGGAAACGAATCGGTGACCTGAGGCTGACATCTCTCACACACATGCACAGATCCCGGACCAGGCACGCAACACAAATGAGTAGTAGCTACGGAGCCAATGAGGTGAGTAACAGATATGGTGATATCGGGCAAACCCCCGGAGAATTCTCAAAAGCGTTTGTCCTGCAGGACCACATCACCAGAGAGCGCGTGGTTCAATTCCTGCGCCTCGGACGCGGAAAGGGTTTGAGCGCAGCCCCAAAACCCGATTGGCCAATGTTCTCCATGAAAAAGCTTGTTAGGGGCCCATCAAGGTCACTTTTGGGGTGAACAAGGTCATTTCAGCCACCTTTTGAAGGGGTATTTTAAAGGTGGCACATGCTATTCAGAAGGGGATTCTGCTTTCTGTCCCGGTCTGTGTTCTGGTGAGGCCGTTTTTCCTTCTTGTTCTCAGTTCCCAAGTCTGTTGACTTCGAAACACACGGGAAGGCCCTTCCAGTCAAAAAACAACATTTCGACTTGTTTGACCAAGCCACTCAGGACATCATTTGGCTGTGCCAAGGTGCAGCACACATCCGTTGCTGCAACCAGGCAGCTTTCCATTTGCTTCAGATTTGCTTTGCTCTCCCGATTCCTGGTTGGTTGCATAAGTGGGTATTTTTGATATTGGTTAACTTCCACTTGCGTTTGTGGTGATCTTCTTCATTATCCACTTGAATTTTCAACAACAATGGCTGATTGGTACAGAAATCTGAGTGGGGTGTTGGCTGAACCTGGGGAGAAGAGGGTCTGTTTCAACGATGCGGAAAGCAACGCAAAAAGCAGCAAAGCTAAGCACTACCTGACTACCTGCCTTGCACATGGTTTTGAGTGTATCCCCTATGTGCGAATCAGCAGGGGGGGCCTACTGGTGGCAAAGGCATCAATGGCCAAGAAGGTGAGACAATAGTTGATCGTACTCGATCCTTCCATCCCAACCAACCGGGGCGTTAAGATTTTCGGTTGTGTTTGAACTTAAAGGATGGCCTGTGTTCGAGGTCCCTTCTTTCGAAAAAAGGCTTCGTGTCAGGGTGCGCCTTTTTCAAAGCACGGCCTGTTGCGGAGAAACAATCACGGCCGGTTTTGTAGAACAAAACTTAAATGGCGGTATTGTTTCAATGGGAATCACGCCCTTAAAAAGGAAAATGCAAAACAAACTGGGACTTGACAGCATGTTTTGGAGATTCCGGGGTTCCTTTTTACCCAACCAAGCCCCGCAAAAGCCGCGGCCCCAGGAGGATGTACTTGCCAGCGGCCCTGTCCATCGGCTCCGACTTCTGGCGTCGGAACCCTCAGACTCGAAGCATGCAAAGCCCCAGCGCTCCGCTGGATGATGCTTTCCACAACCCACCGTTTGAATTCAGGGAATCCAAGAGGAACCACGAGAAATGCGGAGCCCGGTGTGCTTTTTTTTGAGTTATTCAGCAGGAAATGCAGCCGTGCCACTAGATGAATGGTATGTACCCCTTGGGTGGGTCGGGAGTGGAAACCATCTCAAACCGGGCCCGAAGTCGGGCCAGTGGTGCCCGAAATGGACACAGCCATGCGTCCAAAAAAACATGATTGGAGGCCTCAAATTGGTTTTCTTTCTGATCTTTGGTTTCTCAGTTTCTAACCTCCCTGAAAGGGGTAGCCTCAACGCGGTGTTTACCCTCCCTGAAAAGGGTTTCTTGTTCGCAGGATTGTTCTTGAGCGTTCGGTTCTCGAGATAGAGACTTTTCTCCTGCGATCAGCGTATACAACGCCCATCACATGAACTTCTTTCTGCACACGTAGCAAGCGAACAGCTGAGGAGTAGAGCGACAAGATTTGGCCAGCAAGAATGCAGGGTCAATTGTTGGGGGTCGCTTGTTTCAGTGGATTAATTGCACGTAATTTGTTTTCAGATATTTTCAGATAGGCTGCAGAGCCGAAGGCTTCCCCAGGTACCTGTAGCAAGTATGAAAGGCATGACATGATGATTGGAGACCTCCAATCAAAATGGAAGACTTGGGCTCCGACGTTGATTTTGCACACGGATCCGGTCTTTACAGGTGCCCTTTGCATGGGAGGAAGAATCTGGGTGAATTGTAACGACCTCACGCGAGCCCCCCAACCACCTGATTTCAGGTTGGTGAAATATTACACTTCACTCAGAAGCATTCCAGAATCCCCAGAATCGAGTCGATGTCTCGAGGTGTGTCTGCAATTGGCGCCATTGCCTCTGAGATTGGGCCGGATGATTTGGCTGTGCCTCGGAGAAGGCGAAATGGGGCTGTGTTTTGTTGGTTTGGAATGTGCTATCAACATATATATTTGTGCGTACATGTATGTATATGTATGTATATGTATGTATATGTGTATGCATATGCATATGTATATGTATATGTATATGTATATGTATATGTATATGTATATGTATGTAATGTATGTATGTATGTATGTATGTATGTATGTATGTATGTATGTAATGTATGTATGTATGTATGTATGTATGTATGTATGTATGTATGTATGTATGTATGTATGTATGTATGTATGTATGTATGTATGTATGTATGTATGTATGTATGTATGTATGTATGTATGTATGTATGTATGTATGTATGTATGTATGTATGTATGTATGTATGTATGTATGTATGTATGTATGTATGTATGTATGTATGTATGTATGTATGTATGTATGTATGTATGTATGTATGTATGTATGTATGTATGTAATGTATGTATGTATGTATGTATGTATGTATGTATGTATGTATGTATGTATGTGTGTATGTATGTAATGTATGTATGTATGTATGTATGTATGTATGTATGTATGTATGTATGTATGTATGTATGTATGTATGTATGTATGTATGTATGTATGTATGTATGTATGTATGTATGTATGTATGTATGTATGTATGTATGTATGTATGTATGTATGTATGTATGTATGTATGTATGTATGTATGTATGTATGTATGTATGTATGTATGTATGTATGTATGTATGTATGTATGTATGTATGTATGTATGTATGTATGTATGTATGTATGTATGTATGTATGTATGTATGTATGTATGTATGTATGTATGTATGTATGTATGTATGTATGTATGTATGTATGTATGTATGTATGTATGTATGTATGTATGTATGTATGTATGTATGTATGTATGTATGTATGTATGTATGTATGTATGTATGTATGTATGTATTGTATGTATGTATGTATGTAATGTAATGTATGTATGTAATGTAATGTAATGTAATGTAATGTAATGTATGTAATGTATGTATGTATGTAATGTATGTATGTATGTATGTATGTATGTATGTATGTATGTATGTATGTATGTATGTATGTATGTATGTATGTATGTATGTATGTATGTATGTATGTATGTATGTATGTATGTATGTATGTATGTATGTATGTATGTATGTATGTATGTATGTATGTAATGTATGTATGTATGTATGTATGTATGTATGTATGTATGTATGTATGTATGTATGTATGTATGTATGTATGTATGTATGTATGTATGTATGTATGTATGTATGTATGTATGTATGTATGTATGTATGTATGTATGTATGTATGTATGTATGTATGTATGTATGTATGTATGTATGTATGTATGTATGTATGTATGTATGTATGTATGTATGTATGTATGTATGTATGTATGTATGTATGTAATGTATGTATGTATGTATGTATGTATGTATGTATGTATGTATGTATGTATGTATGTATGTATGTATGTATGTATGTATGTATGTATGTATGTATGTAATGTATAATGTATGTATGTATGTATGTATGTATGTATGTATGTATGTATGTATGTATGTATGTATGTATGTATGTATGTATGTATGTATGTATGTATGTATGTATGTATGTAATGTATGTAATGTAATGTATGTGTAATGTAATGTAATGTAATGTAATGTAATGTATGTAATGTATGTATGTATGTATGTAATGTATGTGAATGTATGTATGTATGTATGTATGTATGTATGTAATGTATGTATGTATGTATGTATGTATGTATGTATGTATGTATGTATGTATGTATGTAATGTAATGTAATGTAATGTAATGTATGTATGTATGTATGTATGTATGTAATGTAATGTAATGTATGTATGTATGTGTATGATGTATCATGTATGTATGTATGTATGTATGCATGTATGTATGTATGTATGTATGTATGTATGTATGTATGTATGTATGTAATGTATGTATGTATGTATGTATGTATGTATGTATGTATGTATGTATGTATGTATGTATGTATGTAATGTATGTAATGTATGTATGTATGTATGTATGTATGTATGTATGTATGTATGTATGTATGTATGTAATGTAATATACATACATACATACATACATACATACATACATACATACATTACATACATTTACATTACATTACATTACATTACATTACATTACATTACGTACATACATACACCACATTACATTACATTACATTACATTACATACATACATACACTAAATACATTACATTACATTACATTACATACATACATTACATTACATTACATTACATTACCTTACACTACATTACATACATACACTACATTGCATTACATTACATACATACATACATACATTACATTATGTATGTATGTAATGTATGTATGTAATGTAATGTAATGTAAATGTAATGTACTGTGATGTAATGTAATGTATGTATGTATGTAATGTAATGTATATATGTAATGTAATGTATGTATGTAATGTAATGTATGTATGTATGTATGTAATGTAATGTAATGTAATGTAATGTCATGTAGTGTATGTATGTAATGTAATGTAATGTAATGTACTGTAATGTAATCTAATGTAATGTATGTATGTATGTATGTAATGTATGTATGTAATGTATGTATGTATGTATGTATGTGTGTAATGTAATGTAATGTAATGTAGTGTATGTATGTATGTAATGTAATGTAATGTAATGTATTGTAATGTATGTAATGTATGTATGTAATGTATGTATGTACGTTCGTACGTATGTATGTATGTAATGTAATGTAATGTAATGTAATGTAATGTAATGTAATATATGTATGTAATGTAATGTAATGTAATGTAATGTAATGTAGTGTATGTATGTATGTAATGTAATGTACTGTAATGTAATGTAATGTAATGTATGTATGTAATGTAATGTAATGGAATGGAATGTAATGTAATGTAGTGTAGTGTATGTATGTAATGTAATGTAATGTAATGTAGTGTAGTGTAGTGTAGTGTAGTGTAGTGTATGTACGTAATGTAATGTAATGTAATGCAATGCAATGCAATGCAATGTAATGTAATGTAATGTATGTATGTATATAATGTATGTAAGTAATGTATGTATGTACGTACGTACGTACGTATGTATATGTATATGTATTTGTATACATATGTATATGTATATGTATATGTAATGCGATACGGAGCTGCATTTTGAGACGCCCAAACGGTCCAGAGCTGGGACTTCAGATGTCGCGGTTGTGGAGGATTCAATATGTTTCACTTCTGGTGGTTACTTGAATAAAAGGCTGATTGCATGGACCCACATATGAATCGATGGCCATTTGGGCCAATTCTTTTTGTTCGACTTGTGTCCCATCAGGCCACAAACAAGTAATCGACTCACCAACAAAAGCAAGGGTTCATATTGTACGGGTTCATGTATTCGCCCTTTGAATTTCAGGCATGGTGGGTGACATGCTTGGGGCAACCCCCGCTTCTTTAATCCCCCCCGTTTGTGGACCTTTAATAGAGCGCAGGCAACAAATACAAGCCACCAAAGCAATGCATTTCGAAGGTCGTAAAAAGAACTCACTGCAAGAAGGCAGGAAGGCAGGCATCAGACATGGACTGTTCCAATGACCTTTGAATGTTTGCTAGCTTGCTTGCTGGCTTGCTTGGCTTTCATGGGAAAAATTCTAGTCATGCCATATTCGCATTGGGCGTGCTATTACCAGGGCATCCTTTTTGGGTGGTCTTTTTCCGTTTGGCTTTGCAGGTTGATGGTGTTGAGATGGTCGAGGTATCATATAGATTTCCTTACTCACATGCAAGTCTTGTGAACCTAGCAGCATGCACATCAACGCCCCACTTCCAACGAGCATCATTTTGGGGAAGACCAACGGGGCTCCGAAGTTTAGACTTTTGACCAATCCTATCGATAGCAGCACTCAAGACACTTCCTCGGGCAAAGAACTGTGCTTTTCTGGCATGCATTGCAAGCAAACAAGCTTTGTTAGGAAGAATCATTTGTCGGGAAGAATCACCTTTGGGAAAACAAAACCATTTGGAACTAACTGTAAGCGCTTCGCGCGGTCCGCCTCGGCCAATATTATGTTGGTTGGCTTTGAGGTGGCACTTGAGGTTTGTCGCAAATTGGGAGAGCCGTCCAAACTGGATGTCAGTGTCCCTTTGGCTTCTCTGTTAAACCAACCAAAGGGATGCATGCGGGTGTGTACGCGTTTCTTTCGGTTTCCCTGTGCTGCGCAAATTGGCTTCGGGGTGCCTCAGGTCTTCAACGCCTCGTACCGCATCTGCTGGATGGCGTTGACCTTCCTGGGCGCCTTGGCGGGGGCGGTGGGCGTGCAGCTCAACATCGCCCTGGGGAAGGCGGGAGAGCGAGAAGCACAGGCCTGTTCTGGGCTTCAAAACTCGGATTTGCATGCATTCTTGAATCGAACAGGGCTCCTTAAAAGATCTCCATGTTGCAACCATTTGAAACATGCTGCTTTTTCAATGCCAAAAGAAAGGGAAACCACCAGTTACAAGGCAATGTTCAGGTGTATAATGTAAGGATCCTTGTTGAAGATGCCGGCACATGAAGTATTTCTGGGGGGGAGATTGATTGGAAACGAATGTTGGGCACGCTTTTGGATTTTGTTGCGTTTGTTTGGCAAAGCCCTTGGTTGGCTTGGCAGGTGATTGTGGAGCACTTGTTGTTGGGACCAAGACCTCGAGTTTGAGACAACCCCATACGTTTTCGTGTTTTTGGTGTTTGTCTTTCGTTTTCGTGGGCGCCCTTAAAGAGAAGACCATCATTTTAGCCCAACATGAGTAACCAAACAAGGAAGCCATTCATTCCGTGGCAAATACTCCACTTTGAGACAAACCCAGATGAGCAACGGTCAATATTTGGTGTTGTTCGGAGATGATACATGTCAATTTATCGGATAAATGAAAAGGACGACCATACCACCCCAAGAACCTCCAACATGATTGAATGCTTAGCTTTTGGGACCATCCTGGTTAGTATGGTCCGGCGGCTAAAGTTGCCACAGTTCCGCAATTAAATCATTCAGCGCATCGTCTCCTTCGGTTGGCAGGATCAGCGCTTTAAAGATTTAGACAGCCATGGCAAAGGGTGAAGGAGTTCCCCCGGGTCCTGAAGGAAAACCGACCTTTCACTTGGCTGAGTTGCGCCCAAGTCTGATATCGAGGCTCCCCCCTCTTGGTTCCAGCCTTCAAAAGATCTACGAAAGATCTGGCCCGGTGAAGGCCCCTCAAAGCTCTGTACCCCGGTATTCGAACTTTGCTCTGCGGCCTTCTCGGTTGCGATCACGCCAAGCGCCGCTCGCGTTTGCTTTGGCCACAGTCCTCCACAGTCTCCATCCTCGGTCAGGTTTCAAAGGCATAGAGCTGCTGCCGAACGCCGATGAGCTTCCCATTCTTCAGCTTCTTCTTGAACCACACGTCCTCGGCGGGTTCGGCTTCATGAGCAGCATCCACCCGCGGCCGGTTTGGTTGTGGTTCCCCCAGCACCGCGTGCGGTCGCCGCTCCAGACGAAGTTCCCCTGAGGAGGAAGAAAGCGCCGGCCCAGGTCCACGAGATCCTGCAGATCCACCACCCCCGCCAGACCTATCAGAGCCACGATCTTTTCCTGCTCCGGGCACCAGATTCCGAGGCGCCTTGAACCTCTGTGAGACCATCTTCCACCAGGTGCTCTCTGGGGATGTGCTGCATCTCCAGCTCCTTTTCTCTGCCCGCTTCTGCCAGAGCGCGAAGGTGCCGAGTTCTCCAATTCCCCCCCGAACTCCAGTTCACGATGGCCAGGGCTGCGCTGCTGTCACTGAAGAGGCGCATGGCCACATTTGTGTCCTCCAGCTCCTTCAGCGCTTTCCGCCGTGGAACATGCCACACACGGCTGCCGGTCTAAAACGGGGCAGCTCGCATGTACTACCACCATAGTGCTCCTAAAACCGTAGGCCCCATACGATGCATCGCTGTAGCCCTCGTGCTTGGCCATGTTCTCGAGGTACTTCAGCACCTTCACGGCCTGCCACCCTGATGTCCTCAAACAACCAGCAAATCGCCTTACTCCGGATCTACCCCGTAGTGTCTACCTCCTTTCCAGGGACTCAAAACGTCCTTTCTTGGACTGCCTTGATCTTGAGCACCTCGTCGCGTTAGTTCGCCCAGTGGTCAACCCGACTACCTTCCACCAGCCACAACTCCTGTTCGGGCACCGCCTGATTCTAGACGAAGATGGTCGGCGGCTGAATTATCACCACATCCTTTCTTCTCCCTGGCGGCACCTGCAAGACAGCGGTCTTGACGTCCATGCCCGCCACTTCCCCACTGCCTTTGCACGGCACGTGCAATAACCGCCCGGACCTCCTCTTCCGCCTGGTTGACGATGTCTCCAACCTTGCATCCTCTGTTTTTTGGGTCTGTTCCTTCTTTGGAATTCCTTCTCTTTGAGGATCTGCAGCGTCTGACTCTCATTTGCCGCCTTCTGCGCCAACATGAAGCACTCCCGCAGCTTCTTGACCACTGGATGCTCATCCCTCGCGGCCTTCGTGCGATACTTTCTTCGAGGCCCACTCTGCAGAGCTCCGACCTCTCGCAGCTCTTCCGGCAGTTCTGCTTCACAATGATCTCCATGATCTTCCGGCTCTGCCTGCGCCACGTCACTGTGAAAGAACTTTCGATCCTTTCCCACGTCGCACGCCGCGCGGTTAGTGGCCACTGGCTATCCACCGATCGTAAATCATTTACAGGCACTTAAAATGCCTTTTATACGGGACTCAGCTGAACCTCAAATAAGGAACAAAGTTTGGAGGAGTTTTCACCTTGCCACCTCCCACCCCCAACTCCCTCCCCACCTTCTCCAAACAACTCCAAACGCCTCTCGCTTGCGTCAGGGCAGCACAGCGGACGCCAAGCGCACGGCGAAGGTCGGCACTGTGATGGCGGTGGTCTTCCTGCTTGTCCTGGGCGCGCTGGTGGTGCGCCAGCCTCAGACAACGGCGACTTCCATTTGCAAACAACAGGGAAACCGCAGCCAGCAGTCGTGGGGAGGTTTCTCATGGTTCCCACGTTGGTTAAAACATCATCTTCCAGCGCCTGTGAAAGTGAGCTTCCCTTGGATGGGGGTGGTGATTGAAGGGGGAAACTTTAGAGCCTCCGGCTCAGTCCGCCGACATTGTCCTCTCCCTTTTCTCCTTCTTCCTCTCTTCCTTGTCTCCTTGTGTGTTCTGTCGTCCTCTCTCCCTCCCTCTGCTCCCATCCTCCCCATCCCCCCAAGCCTCTCTCTCCCCACTCTCCCTCTCTCGTATGTATGCATGCATGTACATATGTATGTATGTATGT